CTATCTTGGCTTGAGCAAAAGAGTATCAACAGTGGCTGGTTCTTTCTCAGTAGGCCTCAGATAAGCTTGGTGATCACCACTCCACATGTTGATAGATAAAGTTGACTGGGCCTGCGTGCGGTTAGGGGCTTAAAAACTACATAGATTGATTATGAGTGACAGGGTGGTTGGAGCAGAAAAAGAAGTGGGAATTCTGTTTCAAGGAGAACATGAAAAAAATTGTTAGGTCACATGTCAGAACTCAGTATAGTGAGAGTAAATTTTTTTAGATGTTATCTGTCTTTGGAAAATTTCACAATGAAAGATCTATACAAATATGAGTACAGTAACTGGATATGTAATTCCTGAAAGGTGAGCTTAAGAGCTGTTCTATTTTGAGGAACTTTGAAGGAATGTCACTTATATATCCAGCAATCCGCCAGACTTTGAACTCTGTACTGTGAACTCACGCCTTTCCCAAAGTAATTGTGCACATGCTCTTCTGTTTCGTTGGGAACATGAAGCTCAAGAAGCCCACTTTTATAACTAAAAGAAGAACATTAGAGCTTTCTTCAAAAGAAATAATGTCCTTCAGAATAGCCCCATGGATCTCCTTAACAAGCAGACTCCCTGAGCTCAGGGGAGCCATTTTTTCTGGCTTCCTAGCACTGGCTCCATGAAAAGAATGAATCCCAGTCCAAAAGTCAAGACCTACTGACATTGACTGACTGGAAACACTATCAGATGTTGATAAGTGATCTATTTGAATGGCATTCAAGTCAAATAAAACAATGTGGTGAAAGGGGGGTGTCTGAGCAGAAAAGTGTCTGGGTATATTTTCTGATGATTTGGAGATGAGATATAGTTACTTATCCCATTTTTAGACAATAACAAAGCATACAGTAAATTTAGCCAATCAAGGGAAAAGGCTAGCAGTCTGTTGTTTGGCACCCGTTGTAGGGTGGGTTCTCCCGAAAGCAGGCTTAGAGACGGAGGTAAGCATGCCAGAGTCTACTAGGGAATCTCCACCTGTAGAAGAGAAGGAAGGGAAGAGAGCAGGATTGGCCAGAGGAAGAAGTTAGACTCTAATGCAGTCTCACCAGAGGCCTTGGGGGCGCTCTTAAGCTGGGAAGATTCTTCAGACTTGTCCTGAGTGAGGGTGAGGGCACTGGGCCTTTGAACCTCTGAATCCAGGAGTCATTAGACTCAGGTGCGCCGGGGAAGGACGCATGACTTGGAGGGCGATACCTCTCTTCATTCTAAGGCAGCTCATCACAATGTCTACCATAGCACCACCCGGGAAAATCATGTGGCCACCTGAGAGAGAGCAATGTTTACTATTCACTGACGATCAAGATATAGCATTCTATGGCACTAATACTAATCATATCAATAACTACCATTCAACCAGTGTTGATTACATGCCATTCAAATGGATCACTTATCAACATCTGCTACTGTTCCCAGTCAATAAATGCCATTTCATTTCATCTTATAACTCTGTGAGATAGACATTGTTATCTCTAGGTGTGAATGTAGAAACTGAGGAGTGGAGACACTAAATGACTTGCCCAGGGTCACATATGGCAGGTGGAGACAGGGTTTATGCTAATGTCTGACCCCAGTATTGTTATGTAAACGTTTGCACTCTGCTGGAGCACATACCATGTGTTATAACGATGGACATTGTTTGGGAAGATACAGTCCAAGGAATATACAGGTTTGCCTTTCATAGCTAATGGATGGTGTTACAAACCACATTCAAACATGTTTAATGAGTTGCTATGTAGATGATAACTATGTTTAGTTGTTCATAATTGTATTACTTTTAAAAGGTAAATGAGGTATAACTACTGATCTGTTGACTATTAAAGTCTTTATTTCATGACAAGGAGCCCTGAAGTAGTGTCATTAGATGCCATTACAAAGCTACTAATGCCCATGGGACTCTGACCAGGAGAATACATGCATTCAGTGGGAAAACCTCATCTAGCCTAAGGATTTCCAAACACATTATTATTGATTGACATCATAAGTAGAAGGTTAGGCCAGGATAAAATAAGTAGCATTTTTGATCAACAAAAGATAGTATGTGTTTATTGAATCTAAACATGAAAGTTTCTTCTGTTTATATAACAAGTTTCCTCATCTTTGGATGGGAATTACAATTGCCATTTGCTGTTTTTTCTCCCCCCACTTCTTTAGGTCTCTCTACATTAATCTTGTGGGACTCTGGGTAATCCTTGTCTGCGCAGTGCTTTCTGGGCTCGCTCTGTATTCCAGGTACCATGATTGTGATCCTTGGACAGCCAACAAAGTTTCTGCACCAGATCAGGTTCAGTACCATGTCTTTCTTACACATGCATTAATGCCATTCAGAAAGCTTATTAGTTAGGAGGAAAGAATATTCACGTTCTTGTAGAGAAACAGTAAATAGGTACAATATAATTGTCTTTAATTTCTATAAAGCATTTAGCAAAAATTTATTTTAGCAGATATAGCAGGAATGAAGACTGCCATATCCAAGATTAAAATATTCAAATACCTGAGAAAATTTCAAGCCAAGTATTAAAAAGAAATAGTCTAGGCTAGGAGTAGAACTGTAAACATAGTTTTAAAAAAACCAAAACTGTACACAAACCATGTTACTGTAGAACATTTTGTCGGTATTGCTAGATTGCTCATTTGTAGTTAACTTCGTTTTTATTTATTTTTTAAAATTTAAGTATAGTTGGTACACAATATAATATTAGTTCTATTAGTCTCAGGGATATAATATAGTGATTCGATGTTTTTATACCTTACAATATGATCACCCCACTAATTCTAATCATCTGTCACAGTGCAAACTTATCACAATATTATTGACTATGTTTTCCTTATCTTCCAGTTTTTAAATGATAGAGAAATGGATCTAACAAGTAAACATTTAGTGAATACCATGTGATGAGATTCTGTGCCAAGTAGTTTACATTATTAGTCCTCACAGCCCTGTAATTCCAATTTTATAGATGAGGAAATGAATGAATCTCAGAGAGGTCCCGTAACTTGCCCAGGTCACATAGCTAATAAACAGAATAACTGCAAGCACTTATCAGTACTTTCCATGGGCTAGGCACTATCATAAGTGCTTTGTATAAATTTCAACTTTTAATCCTTGCGGCTACACTCTGAGGTAGGTTCTATGATTATCTCCCTTTTAAAGATGAGGAAACTGAGGCACAGAGAAGTTAAGTAACCAGCTAGTAAACCTGGAGCCAGGATTCAAACCCAGGCAGCCTGCCACCAGAATCCTAACTTTCATCCTCTATGTGATATACCATCTTTCAGAAAGTGTAGCTAGAATTCAAACCCAGGACTGCCAGACTCCAAAGTCTGCATTCTTGTTCTCAGTTCTTCCCAAAATTATTTTCTAAGATTCGCTTGCAAATCAAGATGCAGGGCATTTATTAGAATGAAGATAGACTAACTTTTATGTTGGTGCAAATGCATCACATACAAGATCTGACAATTAAGTTCGCGAACTTAACCTTTGAAAAAGTGCTACATACCTCATTGCTGAATATCACTACGGTCACCTTTGAAGTATTTCCCTTGGGAAGCTAAGGCACCAACGCCAGCACCCAGTCCATCCTTAAGCAATTTTGGAACGCTTTTTCTGGAATGGCCATCAGAGCTGTCATTGTATGATCCTTGATGTCCTGAATGTCATCAAAATGTCTTCATTTCAATATTTCCTTTATCGTTGGGTAAAAAAGTCATTGGGGGACAGACCAGGTGAGTAGGGAGGGTGTTCCAATACAGCTATTTGTTTACTGGCTAAAAACTCCCTCACAGACAGTGCCGTGTGAGCTGGTGCATTGTCATGATGCAAGAGACATAAATTGTTGGTGAAAAGCTCAGGTCGTCTAACTTTTTCACACAGTCTTTTCAGCACTTCCTAATGGTAAACTTGGTTGACTGTTTGTCCAGTTGGTACAAATTCATAATGAATAATCCCTCTGACATCAAAAAAAGGTTAGTAACATTGTTGCATTAAGTTCTTGAACTTAATTGTCAGACCTCGTATTCCCAGAGAAATACAACTTTGTGGGATTAGAAAATGAGAACATCGTTGAACTGTGTATCTCAAACCTATCTTAACACATGCCCACCTTTTGGTAAATAGATTCCTCCCCATTTGCTCAGAGAACCCAAGAATCATGGTTACGCTGAATATGGAAGCACTCTTCCATTATATTCTCTCTAGTCAAGCTTATTTGTGATTTTTGTCAATCTTTATCATCTGAAGTTTGTATCATGAAGACAATAGGAATTTACAAAAATGTTTCTAATATATCTTCCCCTTACCCCGAGCAAAAAAAAAAAAATTTCTACAAGTTCCTAACCTTGAGACTCCTTGTCATAGAAACCATTCAAGGATCTCTTTCATGCATGCACCTATCATTTAGAGAGTGTGTGCAAAATTTTTTCAGAAAGAAAAAGATTTTCTCCTCATGGGATGTTTCCAATACTGTGTTGTTGCTTTTTATTGGGTTAATTCAATTAATATTTCACTGGGGATAGAGTGTGAATAAGGTACAGCCAGTTGAAGATGAGGTCAACATCTCTACCTGAGGAATGTGAAGATACGTTTCTGCTACTCTCTGCTGGAGCTTACCTGGAGGAAACAGGATTGGTGCCTACATGTAGCTTTACTATTTTTTTCTCTGTCTGTCCTACCTCGTTGATACTACCTATACCTGAGGGGACTATTCAGAATATGAAATATCACACTAAAGATTCTGAGAAAGTTGATGATAGGTTAGAAGATTTTAGATCTTGTTATAATACTGACAATACGAACTTCACGTTTGCTTATATATAGAATACCACTTGAAGTTAAACTTTTAAGATATCTTGGAAAAATGAGGACTTAATCTTGTATAGAAAGAAGTGCTATTCTCCTTTTCTGTGAATAAAGAATTAGTAAGCTTTGGAGAACATGGAGGAAGCATTGCTAAAACAATTCAACACAGACCCTTGCAACAATGGATGATGTTCTTCCATGTCCCATTGGCAAACCATTGTTAAATGAAATCAAAGAGGCTGATAAAGTAGGGCCTGTTCTCTACACTCTCCAGTGGGAGAAGGAATCAATAATCCTTCAGTGCAAACGAGGAGACATTTTTCTGGAAAATTATCCACTTAGGACCAATCAAATTTGCTGCAAGATGGCCATGTAACATGGTGCTGAAATCATATACGTCCCCATCCTTATTTAATATTTAATTTAATATTTATGTTTTTTTTGTTTTTTGTTTTGTTTTGTTTTGTTTTTAGCTGAGCCATCCAGCCACCTGTTGGCAGCTCAACAGCAGCTCAGTTCAGGCCGGGCATCGAACCGCTGTTGCTCAGAGCTTGCACTCTTGAGCGAGCTCTTAACCAACTGAGCCACTCGGCTGGCCCTAATATTTGTTCTAAAAAGTAACTTATTAAAAAGCAAGTTGGTATGAGGAACTTTGTGAAAAGAAGCAAGTTTCAGGAATTTTATGAGGTTACTCTCCACTTGTCACTATGTCTCATGCAGCTATAATTACATTTTTCAGTCCTGGGCAGTGAGTAAAGTTCACACGGATAGCCTTGAGTTACCAAGTAAAGTTAAATTAAGTGAGTGTTGCTTACTTAAGCACAGAGGTGTGTAAAATATCCCTTTAAATTGTTATTTCAAAGAATGAGAATAGCGACCTTTTATCAAGCATTTACTATATTCCATGTCCCATACTAAGAGCGTTACAAGGATTATCTAATTCAAATTCTATAGCAACTCTGTGAGGTGAGTATTATTATCCCTGCTATACAGATGAGGAAACTGAGGTTAGAGATATTAAGTAACAAAAGCCACATCTGTCTGTCTGAATCCAGAGGCCGTGTCCTTAACTACTGTGCTGTCCTTATCTTTAAGCCTAAGCGGTTAAAGAGTTTAATTTTAGATATTTAGACGTTTCAGTTATGTGGAATAGCTTCCTTTAGTTTATGCAGAACACAAGGTAAATGAGGCATTAATTAATTTTATTTGATAGCAAATAGGACTGAGGAGTACATTTTGCAATTTTTTAGCTCTTGCCATACTTGGTACTGGACATTCTGCAAGATTACCCAGGAGTTCCTGGACTTTTTGTGGCCTGCGCGTACAGTGGAACATTAAGGTATGTACTGTGGCTCTAATAATACATCGTTTCCCTGTTGAGATATTTTTTTTGTTATTGGATATTTGGGGGAATAAACCTGAATTTTGGACATGGGGCACAGATGCCTCAAAGGAGGCAACATACTTGGGTATCCTCTCTGTTGGCCTGACTCTTGTCTCTATGGATTAGCAGTCCATTATCTCACTTTTAACTTGGTCCCTACTATCTAATAAACTATCACCTACCCTGTAGAGTCACAATAATGATGATCAGTTGATGGTAGCTTTCACTGATGATCAAAAATGGGTGCTTATAGTCACGGTTTTAAATATACATGTGGCTAAAGCATGGTCAAATGGAAAATTTAATTAAAATCTCCTATTTCCATGCTGAATAATATACACTGTCCAAAGAATCTTGTTTTGTGCTTGAACTTATTCATTGCACTTTCTTTCTGTGTTTGATCCATGGAATTCTTCACATGTACAGCATATGACAATGAGGAACCAGGAAATTCATATTACTGACATTTAGGGCGTGTGTTAGGACTCATGGCAATCCTTTCTATGCACAAAGAAAACTATGTTTTGAAATCATTATATAATAATACTGCATAATTTATGTAGATTCTTTCCATAGACACTGAGGAGTAATTGCAAAATGGAAGCAACATTAAATTATCCTTTCTGTCTATTAAGCCCATGGATGTTGCCTGCATCATTCTTGTATAATAGTTTCCAGGGAGAGGATGCTCGGATCAAGAAAAATAATATAGTAGAAATCTGGTTATATTTCAGAAGTAGCAACTTGTTTTTTCCCTTTATCCTTCCCACTTAAAGTATTACTAAAATTAAACTATTATAAATCAAAAGTTCTGTTTTCCCTTACAGCACAGTATCTTCCAGTATTAATGCCTTAGCAGCAGTAACTGTGGAAGATCTGGTCAAGCCTTACTTCAAATCACTTTCGGAAAGGTCCCTCTCTTGGACTTCCCAAGGACTGAGTAAGTTTCCAGTTTTTTTCCTTGGAAGATACAGAGGAAGGATCTCTGAGTGTACATACATACTCTTATGCATGCCTGTGACATACCTGCCATCACGATTTGGGAGACACATCAAACAGTTATTTGTCAGGGACCACAAAGAACGATTTCCAGGAGTCTTATTTAATTTTCTTTTCCTACCTTCTTCTTAACCCGAATCTGTTAAAATTTTTAACCGCAGAAAAAAAATTCATTCCTTTTCCTTTTCAACTTTAGACCACAACTTTAAGAAATGTCCTTAGTTTGGAACCAAGAGCCACATTTTTTTCTCTATTACCTAAAAAGGAGCTATTTGTCAGTTTAAGGTAATAGTCTGTGTGTATGAATTGAAGATAAAGAAGCAGAACATCATGGTTTTTGAGCTGACTTGATCGTCTGTTCTGTCTGCATACGTAGACTGTCCTGGAGATGGTCTATAAAATTGTGCAAAGAAAGCTGAGCTTCTAGCCTTAGATTATAGAACCTTATTAGGGCTTAAATATCAGCTTGAATGGAAGGTTTAAAGGCTGCTAGTTCCCAGATGTCCCAAATGTAATATCTGACTTAAAGAAAGCTGCCTAATATACTTCTTTATTTTGACACCTTGGATATACATGTTTTGGAATGAATCACTAACAAAATGTTATGAGAGGGCTAATGGTTCTAAACCCCAGCACAGCAACACTAATAGGCTGTCAAAGAAATTGTAAATAGAACTCTGTTTTGAGCCATAATTCTGTATCTATAATTGTCATGACTATGAGTACTTCATTTATATTCTTCATTGCCTCCTAAATTTAAACAGTATTGCATCCTTTGATCATGTACCCAGTTTTATTCCTGGAGCATAATTTCAGAATGATACAGAGTTTCCTGAAGAGTATTTAGACGGGCTTATTGCGAGATGATTGAAACGGGATGGTTTAGCGGATGAATAGAAGCTTTTGAAACCAGTTAAACCCAATCTTGCTTCATCAGTGTACTCACTGTCAGGCTTGAGCAAACAACCTATTTGAGCTCTGTTTCTTTACATGGGAAATAAGGAAAAAAATAACCCACCTTTCAGGGATACTATGCAGTTTAGAGATAATGCATATAAAACAAGTGGCAGTAGCTGGTGCTCAGAGAATGATGCTGATGATGATTAATAACGAGATTTATATTAAATTATCTCAAGATATTTACAGTAAGGACATCACAGAGATGAACATGGCAGATGATTTGATTGTGTTTCCAATGACTTTGAATACCAGAACCCGCTATGATGACAGTGCACGACCTATCAAATGGAGAAGAATCAAGTTAAATATGTTGGAAAAACTATTTACTTTAGTATTCAGGGGCATAAAAAAAATCACTGCAGGGCCAGCCGTGTGGCGCATTGGTTAAGAGTCGGCTTGGGAGTGCTGGCTCTGAGCATCAGGGCCACGGTTCAGATCCCACATGAAGGCCAGTGACACTGCACCCTCTACAGCTAAGATGGTGAACAACAGCTCGACCTGGGGTCAGGCTGCCTTGAGTCGCTGGGGATGTGGTAGGCTGCAGCAGGGCTGCAGTGGGCTACTATGAACTACCGTGAGTGGCCGGCAGCCAGCGTGAGCTGCTGTGAGCCTCCGTGAGCAGCCTTCCAGTCGCCGGCGTTGCCTCACCTGGGAAGAGCACAATGATCACAATACCAACATGGGCCAGTGAAGCGACGTCCTCCACAACTAGACTGAAGAACAAAAGGACAGCAACTTGTCTGTTCCCCTTCCCTGATCCCTCAATACTGTTCCCTCCCCCAATTCCCCAATTAAAAAAAAAAATCATTGCAATAAGAGCTCTTTGCGAAAAGATTAATGTAAGATTTTCCATTTAGATTCAATAAGATTTACTTAATATACTTAACAAAGATGTGAGGGTTAGTGTAAGATAGGAATAACATAATATAATGAACGCACTAATTTTATGATGAGCAAATTTCTCATTTGCTTTTTTATTATTTTGAATTTTATGTGTGGGAAATTATATTGACTGACTTGAAGTTATTTTTGCTGAATGGAAGCCTTTAAAAATAAAATTGGTGTGTGTGGGTAATGGGTGGGGGAGTGTTCCTATCATTTAAATAGTAAAACATATACTTGGAGAAAATCTGGGAAATACTGAAAGCCAAGACCAAAAAAATAAAAGATAAAAAAATCCCATAATCTGACCACCAGTGGTGGCTTGGGAATTTCTATAAACAAGTTAGGGGAAAAGAATTTAGTGGAAGGGACAATGTTATACTTGTCTCGAAGCTGCCTTTCTTTCCTAGTGTAACAGGAGAGGCTTGGTCTGTTGATGGAGATTATGAGAGGGCTGATGGTCCGAGACCACCTTGGTGTGGATTGCCACTTCCCAGGAGAAAGGAACACTTACAGTCAGAAGACTCTAATTTCCAATGGTTTATTACTCCCTTCCCCCATCATGGTGTACAGAGCAGAGCTGAATTGTGTCCTATTTTTCCCAAATGGAAAACAGAGACCTGAGCCTTCCTTTATAAAAAAAAAAATGTTAATGAGGGATTAGATGAATAACAATAGTTCTTAACATTAAAATCCTTATAGTTAATTCTAGGGATTCTTACATAACCTGATGTAATTAATCCTTGGACACAAAATCAGGGTTTTCTTTCCTCTTTACACATTGCTGATCCTGAGGGAAAACACCCCTCCCCCCTGTTTTGCTGGCTCCGATGTATGTGGCCATTCTTTACCACAGTCATGTTACTCACTTTGAATCAAAGGTACAGTAGTTTATTCTATTGAGAATTCTAATCCTCTGGGCCTAGACCTTACACTGGCTTTTACGTCATCCATCTAGGTGTGCTGTTTGGGGTCCTGTGTATTGGAATGGCTGCACTGGCATCACTGATGGGAGGTTTGTTACAGGTAAGAGCTGACCCTCAAAGCTTTCAGTCATAATCACAAAATTCTTTTTATTTTTAATGTTGATGTGACCATCTTTCCAGACTGTGCTCTCTCTCTCTCTCTCTCTCTCTCTCTCTCTCTCTCTCTCT